CCCTTAAGAGTGACAGAACATTTAGTAAAGTATTTGCAAAACTACAAAAAAGGAACATTTAATGATCATTGAAAGTAAGTACAGATCCAGTCATGTAAAGCAGACTGCACAACAACCTGATTCACATCTCAGATCACAGCTCTCAGGATCACAGAGCTCCATGCCACACCTCCACTACCAGGGCCAGTACTTCCAACCCAATTTGGAATTACAGCCTAACAGGGACAAAATTTCAAATCTGGAATGTTCAGGAAATCAGAGAGAGATGGCTACTCTCATATAGAAGCCATGATTAAATAAATAATTAGGTATTTATGAAATGATCTAATCTGGATTGGCTTGTAGACATATGAAAGCTGAAATAGAAAAAAGAAAAAACAAGTGCTAAATTTGACCACTTTAGGTAAAACTGATGGAATGCAAAAAAGTTTTCAGAACTGTCGTCTCTCTCAAAATGTATCTTTGGGTCAAAGCAAAAGAATGCAAACTCTGCAATTGTAAAATAAAATTGACATGTACATATATACTTCATGGGTTATTTAGTGCTCAAGCTACACACACTCCTATTTATGTATGTGGCTCCTTAAAATATGACAGGAGTATATGCCAAGTACAAATATTTCCATTTTTGTAGCCTACTGGACAGGAGGCATAACTCAGTCTACAGTCGCTATCTTTCATCAGTTGTTCTATAGAGACTCAATAACAAAAGTCACACGTAGTTGTAGATGGTAGCATACAAAAGGAGTTTAGACATGTGTTATTAAAAAATAATGTTTAAATAATAAAACATTATTTTATTACAATTCTAAATACTGATGTTTGATATTGAGAAATAATGGTGTTTACTGTGGAAATTTTTGGTAAATATTCTATGTACTAAAATACATTAATAGGATGTGTGTTCTATGTCAGACAATGTGCTAAACATATCACATGTATTATCTCATTTAATCATCACAAAATCTTATGGTTTGGACACTGCCATTAATTCCCTATGGAGGCAGTATTGTTAAGTACTTAAGGACATGGGGTTTGAGGTCAGAAACTTCTTGATTTAAGTTTGAACTCTGCCATTTTCTAGCCCTTTTATCTTGGGAAACCCAACCAATTTTTTCTGTGTCTCATAGGGTTGTCATGAGTTTTCAGTAAAATTATGTATGTAAAGTTCTTACCACAATACCTGGCAGATTAAATAATTAATGTTAGATATTATTATCATAAATATTGTGTTACATATAGTGCCCAAGATAATATGTGGGGATGTTTGCTTTATATGCATATTGTATCCTGACAATATGTACAGAATACATTATGTGTACTGTATGTGTATGAAAGAAATGTGCAAGGACGTGATGATCCTTGTTCAAATCACATATCCAGTTGGAACTACTTCTTTGTTTATTTCAATTATTTGAGAGGCCTCAGTGAAATATCTCTGGGCCTTTCTAATCAATTTCCCATTACTTATGGGTGCTCCAATAAATTTCTGTTTCTTGTAAACAAACACTTTATTACTTAGAAAACCTCAAGGGGCCCATCATTCACTAAACATAGGATCCCTAAGTGGGGTCCATGTCCATTAGAGTATAGGAAGAACATATTAAAATGATACTTGTGTTTATTTTTATCTAGCCTTTTTATGTTCGTGTATGTTTTATAATGGCATAATACTACAGTGGTATATGTACATTGTTTTAAATAAATAAATGAATTAACAAGCATATGCCTGGTGCATGTATGCAAAAAGAGTGTTGCAGGTAAGGTTGCATTTACTAAAGTTTGGAGATCGCTGAACTAGAGAATAAAAATTCTTTGTATTTGAGGTTCTTTACATTTATTCCCCAGCCTCATTTTTCAGTTGTATCACCTATCATTTTTATTAATTTTTTATTATAAAACTTTCAAGCATACACAGAAGTAAATACAATAATAGAATGAATCAATATGTACTCATCACATACCAACTCATGTCTAATCTTATTTTCTCTATTTCTACACATCTCCTCCCACACTGTATGTCTTAGCAAATCTCAGACATCATAGTATTTAATCCATGAATATTTCAGTAAGAAATCTCTATAGATAAGAACTTTTAAACTTAATCACAATGCCATTTTCATACTTTTAAAAATTAATAATTCCCTAATGTTATCAAGTTATAAATATTAGAGAAATAAATGATGAAGAAAGTGAAAATCCCTATAAACCCAACCCCAAGGATAGTCACTGTCAACAATTTAGGGCACCTTTTTTCCATTTCTCTCTATATATTTATACTAAAGTATTATTGTATGTGTTTATGAGTTTAACTTTTGACTTAGAAACTTGTCTTGACCACATTGCCTTCTGTTTGAGTCTCAGTTGCACCATATTTTATGTAAGTGGATTGGCCAGAAAGGATATGATTGACACGCAGAAAGGCAGAATACTCAGATAAACCACCACCACAGCATTAGGCTTATAGTAAATCCAACAACTAATGCAATTGCCTCAGACATTAACATTAACACAGACTCCCAGGCCCAGCTGGAATTAGACTAATCACAAAATAAGTTATTTTTTCAGAAAAGAAAGACACAATATTGAAATGACCAGCTACAGCAGCACTGCAATGGATTAATTGCTTTTGCTTCCTTTTGCTGTGAATTTGATCTTTCATTATGACTTATCTTAGGAAAGACAATCTTCATTTGTTTATGTTCCTGTTACATACATTTCTAAATACCAGTTTGTTTGTTTGTTTTTGTTTTGTTTGTTTTTTTAGTGTTACTCCTGAGCAGCTCAGTATGTCACTAATTTATTTCGCCTGGGTTACTCCTAATTTGGCAATGGGAGGAGTTTGCGCTCTGTGACTGGTTCTCACCATTCATAATTGTGTTAACTGTTTTTGAAATTGAAAAAAAAGCAAAATCAATCATGTTTAGGTGATTCCTATCGCTTCCAAACGTTTAGAAATCTTCACAGGGATAAAAAATACATAGATAGCACATTGTTTCTCTCTAACCTGATTTTGTCTCTGCTTGGAAAGTGGTCATTTTTGGTGTGTGTTTGTGTGTGTGTTTTGGTGTATAGAGGTTTGACTGTATAGAGGTGTCAGGGAGATGTTTGAGTGGATAGTTGTGTGTGTGTGTTTGGGTGTACAGAGGTGTAGGGGAGGTGTATGAGTAGAGGCGTGTGTGTATGTGCATGTGTCCATGTACCTGTGAGACTAGTTTTCAGTTTGGCTTCATG